ATAAGCATGATTAAGCTCACAACCCCTTCACAAGCCTACAAACACCCACAAGCCACCATTCCACCCACAGACCACATAAAATATTAACTACTCCTTGGGTCAATTTTAATTTGGTCGACTATTCGATTGGAATGGATTGGAATGGAATGGAATGGAATGACTGGCTCTGCCCTGACATTTTCCATTTGCCAAATGAGTGTGCAGGCATTTTGTGATTGAAATCGATGCAAATGCAATATCCTTGCGGGGCAGTGTATGCCCCGTATATTATGACGCTAATAAACCGAGGGGCAGCCCTCCATTGTTATTTGAAGTCTGAAATGTTTCAGTTTGCGGGAACATTTTTGCTTGCATGTGCCATGTGATTCGCTGATTTGTTTGAATCAAGTCAAATGTCGCTCCTTAAATACCTTAAATCCTGTTTCCCCACACACACAAAAAATAGGCTCGAACAATCCACAATCCATTGTGCATTCCGACTACTTGCTGGGCAATATCTTTCACCACGGCGTAGACAATGGCCATTGGCGAACAATGAACGGGAGGGGAGAGGAGAGGAGAGCGCACAGGCTTTACTCAACGACCTGCTGAATGCATGTACATAGGCGATGGAGATGGAACTACGACTAGGCAGGCACTAGGACCTGCGCTCAACAATTCAATTGGGAATGGAATCCTTCAGTATGCTATGCTCATTGTACAGGACGATAGCCGTTGATTACAATCCGTTCAGAGGCGGATGACTTGCTGCTGGGCGCTTGATGAAATTTTCGCGCACAAAAAAGCGACTTCAGTGAGCCAAAAGTGGCGCTTAAATCGCCGCCGAAATTAGCGGACTTTTGTTGCACAGACACGCATCCACATGGCACATACATATATAGGCAGGAACGAGCGCAAACGGAAATGAATTTGCGGTGCAAAAATGATTGTTGCGCGGTTGCACAAAGCGCGCAAAGGCGCACCCCACAAACAGATACCGTCTGACGCCACAAGAAGAACAAGAACGAAATGAAATAAAAGATGGACACCCCCCCTGACACACCATGAAAGTGTTTCCGTGTGTGTGTGTGTGTGTGTGCGCATATTTCTGTGAGTGAGTGTAAAAGAATCCTCAGTGCCGCCTGCCGACAAAAAAGAAAATTGCATACAAAAATTGAAATTGCCAAATGCAAGCCAGAGGACAGTGGAATAAACACACGCAAAAATTTTGGTACACAAAAATGTTAGAGTGACTTCCAGTAACATTCTGAATATTTAGCAAAATTATAAATATTATAAGAATAAATAATCAATAATAATAAAATAAATATAAATATATATTTAATAATTATATTTAATATTCAACTCGGAAACTTTTTTAATAAAATTCTACTGCAACATATTTGGCGGTAAACGTTTCTGCTGCAGTAATGATGCAAAATTAAATAAATAAATAATACATAAAATAAATAAAATAAATAAATGAATTAATTGTACATTTAAAATTGCTGAATATTATATTTTTTTATTTATATGTAGCAGCAGCTTTCTTTTATTTTCAACGAAATTAACCCCACTGGTGAGCCCTGCCTGGCCCACTGTGCACTCCCAGCCAGTCGCATTCCGTTGCGTTGAAAAAGACGCTAAAAGCCAAAAGATAGGCTGACATATAGAGAACATTCGAATGCAGAATGCGACAGAGATAGCAACGCAATGCGAGAAGGAGATGGCGAATGAATCAAGTACTCGTACCGTTAGGCAACGAAAAGGGGGTTTTTTTTTTTGCTTTGTTCGTTTAGCAATTTTATTTCCGCCTTTGTCGCGATTCATTCGATTGCCTGCCAACCTGAGAAATGAAAGCAAGAAAACGGGAAAGGGGAACGGGGAACGGAATGGCTTGGCATGGCATGGAATGCGCGGAGCAGGAAACGGAGGAGGAAGGTGCATAGAATATATGTAGAGCGGAGTGAACCGAAGGAACCAACCAACGCGTTGCCACATATTTTCCATCTTAATGTGTTAACCCAATTTTAACGTTGAGCGCTTAGGCAGTCGGGCAGGAAGGGAAATACATATAGATGGAACGAAGATCCGACTACAAAGAGCCCGAAATTGGAGCGAACATTTACCGCTGAATTACGGGCCAACGATTTCCACTGGCATTGCATGAAAGCGGAGTTTTCCGTGGCCAAGGGGGATGAGTTTGAGGTGCCCTGGTTAAGACGGCAATTTCCCGCTAATTTGCATAAGTGTCACCAGAGATACAAGGCAACAACAATAATCAGTTGAAAGTTTAAGGCAGGAATTCGCATCGCAGCAGCTAAGTGGGCCAAATAATGCTTACTGGGTGGGAATCTTGGGAACTTTTGAAATTGGCAATTTACGATTATTTTTGCACTTGTACAAATATCTGCAACTTGTAGATTTTATATTCTTCTTTAGGTAGCAAAAGCATCTGCTTAAAGTCGGGATTATTCTTCTCCTCGCGATTTTAATGAATTTAATTAGGAAATATTCGTAATATTTCCTTTTAAAAAATGAAATTCAAATCAATTTTAGACAATGAATATTCTAAGATTTCTTTAACAATTAAATCACAATTAATTGGCTTAAAACAAAAAAATAATAGAACAAAACCATTCGCAATCGTTTCCTTAACCAATTAATTTACACATCTGCCTACTGCTTTGGGGGGCAACTCTTGGCAACGAATTGCCTTTGACATGGCCCGACATCAGGTGCGGGCCGACATAACACGGTACCTGCAACACCACAGCAGGAAATGTAAAGGGGGGCCCATATACAGGTGGGGCGGCAGGGGTTGGCACACCAGGGAACGGAGCTGAGCTGAGCTGAGGCGCAGCAGCAACTTCGTTGTACAATTTTCTATTTTTGTTTCTGTTTTCTTCTACATTGTTCAGGACGTTTCACATGCAAAACGCGTGTCACATTCGCATTTCCGCCTGTCATCCTAGTTTAGTTGGGGCTCCACATCCCGTTCCAGGATTTCAAAAACCCCCATCTCCTACCATCACAGCCCCTATTACACACGAAACGAAACCCCCACCAATACACTCACACACACACGATACACATGTGTGCACACGTGCCGCTTTTTGGCTTTCACCAACAGTCGCCCCATCGCCCCATCGCTTCTCGGTTCTCTTTCGGTTACTTTGACTCTTTTTGGGGTCTCTGATAAGTGGACATGCGTGTGTGTGTGTGTGTGCGCTCGTATGTGTGCGTGTGTGTAACTTGTTAAAAATCCATTAATCACGTAAGTGGCAACTCTGGCAACGACATCGCTGGCATACAAATTCGTTCATGCGTGCAAAAAAAAAGCTGAGAAGCTTCACCCACACCCACCCAAACACACCCACTACCCCAGCCACACCCACACTGCAATTGCTTTCGTATATCTGTGTGTGTGTGTGTGTCTGGGATGGAGGGGTTTCCACTTAATTTTCCTGCTTTTGGTTATGCTTTCGCATTTTGCTGCCTCATTATCTTTCTATTGTAAATTGCTGCACTGACGTAAGACGAAGACGAAAATGAAAACGAAGTCGAAGGTCGTTAAAGTTCTCATAACTAAGTTTTGTTTTTGTATAGAATTTAAATTTGCATTTTATTCGCATAATATCCAACATTCGGAGGAGTTTTCAAAGAGCACCTAAGATGCTTAACTGAAGGTTAATTATATTCGTATAAATTTGAGCTTTTTGGGAAACAATAGTTTATACAAAAAGGGAATAAAATAATAAATTAACAAATAATATTTTTCTATACTTCTAGCATTTTTTTTTTTTGGCTAATATTAAATAAGCAAAAAACTATTTGCCAAATATTTTTCTTAGTTTTGCTATCGTCTCGTTAGTTCCGTTTAGTTTTTTGGGAGGCTGAAAGAAAGCCTGTACAAATGAGAAAACGATGGGTAGACTGTGGTTGCATGTGTGTCTGTGTGTCTGTGTTGATGTCTTGTCTTACAAGCTGCACGCATTCCTTTGCCACACAAAATTCCTAGAGAGCACCAGAGTCAACACAGCAGGCAAGTTTATTATGTCTGGCTGAGCACACAAAAAAAAGTATGCAACATTTTAATATGTGTGTCACCAGCTGCATCTGTTTGTGTGTCTATGTGTGTCTGTGTGTGTGTGGGGGGGGGGGGGTTGCCATTGTCTATGCGGAATATAATAAACCCAACAAACCCTAAATTTGCAGTAAGCATCTTTGCGGTCTCTGACAGCGACAAAATTTACAATACCCCACAACACACAAACACACGAACACACAAAGACACACACACACGACAGCTCCAAGCCGCCCCCGTGCAACCTTGGGCGGCAACCCTTTAAGTCTTTGCAACTACTAGAAACTTTAGCACATTTCCTCATATCTTAGGGCCACCTGCTGCAAAAGTTTTCGTTTCCTTTTGCTCTTTCCTTTCCTGTCTGCGTGAGTGTGTGTGTGTGTTGCAAAATCAAAGTTGCCACGACCCCATACGCCGCCCCCCAACCTACTCAAACTGCTCCTCTATCTCATATTTGGCCCTGAGAAAGTTGGTCCTGTTTGTAGATATACTCGCATGTATATCCTGCTGGATGGGAACCTACTCCTACTGGCACTCGTATCTTCTACTTAAATTAAATACAATGTGTGCGAAAAGTAAATTGAAGTTTGCTTTATGTGAATTTTTCACTTGCATTTCCTCCCTACAATCTCTATTCCTGCTCCTTTCACGAGTTTCATTTAAACGTGTTAAACAAATGCTCTCCAGCAGACTTACATACATCGAATATATGTACCCGAAGGAATTGACATTATGCAGGAGGTGGAAGGTGAACCCTGAACTGTTGCATGTGGGGGGGAGCCATGAGCTGTCAGCATGTTACTTATACGAGGGGTAGGGATATTTTGTACATTTATAAAATATATAAAAAGAAATAAAAAAGAATAAATAATTCTCTGCTTGATTCTTCTCGTTTTAAAAAATTTATATATAGAAGAAGAAGAAAAAGACTTACCTTGCACCGATGAGCAGACTGTTGCCATCCTTGGTGACGAGCTTAAAGTGATCCACAACACTTTCGTTTCCCAGAAATTTCAGTATATCTTCGGGACCTGCAAGATAAAAATCGGTAGAAGAGAATGAAAAAGTTATACACAAAATTTGCATCAGACAACAGGGGGGTGACAACAGGGGTGGACAACAGGGAGGACTGTCGCCGAATAACTTAGCCTGCGTGGGCGAGGGCGAGGGAGGGAAGGGAGGTGGAAGCTGCTAGATGGAAGACAGATGAGATGGTTTTGGTTCAGCATGCAAATGCCTAATTAGGCAATTAGGCGGCGTTAAAGGCGACAAAAAGCAGTTGAGAAGAACGGGAAAAGGAGCAAAGAAGCAAAGGCAAAATGGTATAAACAGAAACAGGGAGCAAGGGAGACGAGCAGGAAAATGCTGCAAAATGGCGGCGCACAGGAAAACAATGCAGCTGCCGGGGCAAAGGCAAAAAGCAGAAGTTGGGCAGGAAAATGGTGACTGGTGAGTGGAGACTAGAGATCCCTCTAGCTTGATATGCAAAAAAAAAAACAACGTCCATAGAGCAGCACTGACTGTGGCACAAGCGGTAAGGGGTGAAGGGTTGGGGGCAAGAGGTAAGTGGGACTATGCGGGCAGCAACAGCACAAAGAATGGGCAGCCGTTTAGCAACAGCAACAGCCACAGCCACCAGGTCCCCATACTCCAGCGTTGGTCCGTCAGGGAGGAATAAAGTTTTTGTCAGCTGTTTACTTTAGTTATTCGCATTTACTTTTTGTACCCACTGTGACGATGATGATGATGATGGTGATTATGGGGATGGGGTTGATGGTTGTCACTTGCCACAAACTGTAGCCGGTTTATCTGTCTGTCTGTCTGTCCGCTACAGGCAACAAAGTGTAGCAGTGACTCCATCCAGGGATTACAAAGGTAAAGGTGATGCTGCTCTCTCTCTCTCTCTCTTTGGTACTCTGTCTGCCTGCCTTCAAGCTGGAAGCTGATAATCAGGGTTTACATGGCACTCTCGATCAAAGCAATCTTTTATTCATTACAAACATTAATTAACCACCGGAAAAATCACCTGAAATGCTGTCTATTTAAAAGTGTGTGTGTGTGTCCTGTGCCACTCATTAGACATTCGTTCGTTGAATTTTCTGTGTGTGTGTGTGTGTGTGTGTGTGTGTGTGTGTGTGTGTGTGGTGCTTTTTTCGAGGGCTTTTAACTTTTAACAGCCAAATGTTCGGTCAACCTCAAAAGAGTGAAAAAGTTGGTGGCTCTTCCACTTCTTTTTCTGCACTCATTCGAAGCTCTTTTCACTGTGTGTATGGGGTACGAGGGGGTACCTGGTTATTGAAAGTACATTTGGACTCCTTTTTACCGTGTGCCCACCCACTTTTCATTTCAATTTGGATAAAAAACTGAAAGAGAGGAACACTAAAATGAATGGCTGGAAAAAAGGAAGTTTTTATGCGCGGCACAGAAGCCTTTTGTTTGTTTGACATTTAACGTGACACGTGGGACATGTGGCAACAAAAAAAAAAAAAAAAAGACTGCAAGGGCTATGAGGGAAGCCTCCAAGAGAGCGTGTTGGCAGATGGGTGCATGGTGAGGGAGCGTGGAGTGTGCCAGCTACAGCGAAAGTTGTACAAATGAAGCGACATTTTTTTAATTTTGCGCTTTAATTAAAAGCAACAAAACCAACAAGTCCGTGCACCAAAAACACGACGGAAACGAAAGAAGGAAAAGGGGAAAAGAAAACAAAAAACCTGAAGAGAAAGTCGCCAAAGGAAAACAGAGAATGGAAAAATAATTATAGCAGACAAAACATTAAGAATGTCTCAGGGCAAGACCAAGGAGAAGACAAATGAATAAAGAAGGAAAGCAACAGCAGAGAGAAATAGCAGATAAAATAGTCGGTGGACTACAAGAAGAAAAAACAGGGTAAAGTCAGAGTATTCAGTAAAATATATAAGGATAAGGAATAGCAGATAAGAGAAGAGTGAAAACAGCATAGAAAATGATAGAAAAATGTTAATAATACTTTAAGCAAAAATAGGATACTGAAGGCCTTATAGAACAATTATTTGTAGATATCAAAGAACTTTAGAAATGGGAAATGGATTAACAAAAATACTATTGCCGAAAATCCTATTAATACAAAATAATATATAAATTAATGTAGATATATTTCCCGGAGTAAAAGCAAGGCAATTGTAGGATATATCTTTATAGCAAGTCTTGCACAATTCCTTATAGGCTGTGTAGCTCTTTGGTACCATCGGAGCCACTGCCCTCCCTCCCTGATTCAATATACCCTGCCCCATGCCCTATTTTTAGGCTCCCTTCCATTCTCATTTGTATGATAATGATTCTCATTTGTTGCTGCCGCAGCCACAGCGCCATTCACGCTTCCCGCCCTCCCTGCTGCAGCATGCTCCGTGGACCATGCTTTATGTGGCCAGGCTCAACTTTTTGTATTTAATGCCACCGCGGGCCTTTTTGTCGACCTGGCCAAAAAAACTTTGTAAGCCCAAAATTGTAAGCTAATATTTATTTTACCTATATCTACATACAATACAAGGGACACACACATAGAGAGAGAGAGAGAGAGAGAGAGAGAGAGAGAGAGAGAGAGAGATCCACATAGATGCCGCAAACTGGAAACTGGAACCCCGAAAAAGAGCGGAAAAATGCCACAACCAAAAATCTAATATTTACCTTGACTTTGCACAAAAGTAAACTGCAAACTCGAAAAAAGCAGCAAACCGAGCACTTGCATGGGAGGGGTAACACAGAGCTGGTCCCAGATCCAATTCATCTTTTCCCCATAGTCCCCATACACATGCATACATATCTATATATATATATGTATGTATATGTCTATGTATATGCATGAACAAAGGACAAAGGGCCAGACGACAGCAGAACAAAACGTAACAAAAAAAAAAAATACATAGAAGAAGGAAATGCTAGAATAAAAAAAATGAAAAGAACACTGACAGAACAGAGTCTATCACTTTAATCAACTGGACCTGGGACCCACCGTCGCTGTCTGACTCTGCTCGAAAATTATGCAAATTCAACAGAAAAAAAAAATAAAAAATAAATAAAATAAAATTTCTCTGCCTGACGTATGAAAGTCTACAAAATGCGCCAGAGCCCCAAGTCGAGTCGAGTCGTCGAGTCATATAGTCGAGTCCACCATGTTTGACATTGACTTGCGGGACGTGACCATGCAAGAACCAAAGACTCTATAACACAACAAGATGCGTAACGGGGAAGAAAAAAATGTATGACAGCAGCACAATTTTAAAAGAAATCTAACTCCACACTTGCGTATGTGTGAGTGCGCTACACAAAATGTATTCTATTTTTAGAATTTCGTTGTTACTCTCGGGCATACACACACATATGTACATATGTATGTATGTGTGTGTTCTACAATTTTTGCCGTCTGAAATTCTGACTCTGAATCCAAATTTCGTATTTCGTCAAAGCTGCACAATTCTTAATGATGAAAACGAAATTAAGGTACTGCAACTGCTTAGGAAAAGAAATACGGGCGGTGGTGCAGTGGCGAAGTTGCTTGCGTACGGAAAGTGTGAGCCAAGTTCAATTCCCAGCGAAAGGTGATAATTTTTTTTTTTTTGGCGTTATCTTTATTTTAAAGTCAAATATACTTAATAATGAATGCCATGAATAAAACAAAACTCCAAATTAAAAATAACAAATATAATAGCCACTGAAAATTAACAAAAAAAAAAAATACAGAATAATCAAACAAAGAAAAAAGTTATAAGTTATTCTAAATGAAAAAAGCAGGGGCGGGAAAAAAAAGGAGGTGCCCCCAAATTGATGGTTGCCTAGGGCCCCGTTGAGGCTTGATCCAGCCCTGCCCTACTCCGTTTAAAAGATATTCAACAAAGTAGATTTGGAAGGCATTGTTGAAATGATTTTTAGCGTATATTAATTTTTGTATATTTTGGGAATATTAGTTAATTTTTAGATAGAGTTGGTTAAAGAAAAAAAAAAAAGATAAAAAGAAATAAACTTGCACTGAGTGAGGCTTAAACTCGCTTAATTTCGCTTTGCAGTCAGCCACTTAGTACGCTGCGCCACGGGCTTAGGAGAAATAATGTCGTCAATATGTCAGCTTGATTCCTTTGTTGCGACAGAACATACGAAAAAATGCACTCACACAACCAAGCGCTCAAACACGGACAAGACAACGCACACATAGACAAATCGAAAATCCACATCGAAAATCCACGCTAAAAATTTCGTGTGCTTTTCAGCAGTATGGTCGTTACGCATCTTGTTGTGTTATAGAGTCTTTGCAAGAACCAACCAACTTAATGGTCAACTTCCGACCAGGAACCAGCCAAAGGACCTGCCTCTCTCTCTCTCTAGTTCTCTTGCTCTCTAGCGCTTTGTGCTAAGGCATTTCCCCAACAATTTCCTACACAAATTACACAAAGAGTCGGGGCAGTGTCGGTTGGGACGACGAATGGCAGCGGTACAAAATAAGCTGATTATTAAATATTTTCTTAATGAATTTTTCATTTGTACGAGACCTAGCAGCACCGCCAACATGGTGTGATGACCATTCCACACACACACACACACACACACACACACACACACACACAGGTGAAACTGCCACTCTGCAACTGTGGGGCGTGGCAGGCAGGCAGGCAGACAACAATGCAACATTAAATATGCAAAAACCATGCTCAAAAATGCAAGCCAAATGTTGCTTTTAATGCTTCCAAGAGAAATGCTAGAAGGAAGCGAGCGAGAGAGAGTCTGTCAATAATAAAAGTTTCCGGTACACAGAAAAAAAAAAAAACAGAAACGGCAAAACTTACGGCTCTGGCAGGTCCTTTTCTTGAGCTTTAAATGCATCAAAAATGTATCTGCAGGAAATAAAATAATCCTTATTTTTTCCCATCCAGCGCTACAGAGAGAGAGAACGTTTCTATTGTGTAAAATTTCACCTTGTCCAGCCGCAGTCCCAGTCGCAGTCGCAGTGCCAGACCCAGACCCAGGGCTAACCAAATAAAAATCCCTGGATGCCGTCATAAAA